ATGCTTTTATTCATCGCGTTGATCAGCGGATGAACACAAACGGCGGACCAGATTTCGGAATGTGTGGTTGAATATGGGATGCTAGTAGCTAAGTTTAGGTCTTGATAATATTTGTTTTTGCTATTTAGGGGCAGGTCGTTGGCGTGTAAGTGGTGTACATATAAATCGTTATTATCGAGTCTGGATCGAGTAGATTGGACGACGATGTGGTTTTAGCTTTAGTGATGGGAGGGAAATTCGAGATACGGTGCAAGAAAGGCAGCCAGTGTCAAAAAAATTAATGCGAGATGCGCTGCAGCAGATGGTGGTGGTACTTAATTCAAGTTCCGTTGTGCAAAGCGATAGAACGGAAATCTGGTGGTGTTGTAGACGGTGGGTTGTAAAAGAAGAAAAAAAGGTAAAAGACGCGTCGCCGTGAGATGATGATGGTGGGTTGGGGGCGAATTCGAACTTCGACAGACAGGCAAAGACGACGCAAAATTAAGAAAAGTTGAACAAAATAAAATAAACAAAATAAAATGAACCAGAACCTTTTGTAGAAACCACCAACAAACAACATCAATAGACAACATCATCAGTGTTTTTGATTCAGAAACTAAACAGGGACTGGATTGTTATTGAAGTTTCTTTGTTGGCTCAGCATCATTATGTTGCCACAGCCGGCCGTTTGTGCACAGTACAAGCCATCTCGTTCTTTAAGGGAAAACGCTAGTCGCTTCCGGACCGCCTTTAAGCAATCAAGACAACCTGGTTTTTATGCCCATTTTTCAGTTAAATTTCATTGCTTTTCTTGATATGAAGCGTATCTCATGCCTATTATCGTGTCTCACTCATCTTTTCTGTGTATTCATTTTATGTACAGGTAAAACAAGTCATTTGTATATATTCATTTGTAACCATTATCATTTTGGCTGCCCTTGAGTTTTGCGAATGGTGCCCAGTATATGGTTGCCTTAAATACAGTAGAGCCTCTTTTAAAAACCGATTATGCTGTCAAATTCTTCTACGGGTATCATATTTCAGAGTTCATATGAAGAATACCACCCAACTGGCAGGTCTGGCCGGAATGAATTTTAATACGCAATCTAAATATTTTGAGCGGCTAACGCTTTATTTAAACCAGACTATTCCTAATATAAGTTCCGTAGGATTCCTAAAAAATTCAGTAGTAGAGACTCAGCGTCTAATCTCTACAGATCAGACTCATGTTTTTCAATAGAGTCTTCCCATCTGCATTGAAGTCTATATCAGACTTTTGATTGCATTGTGCACATTTGATCACCTTTGCGTCTCCAAGATTGGGATGAAGGGTCCCACGTTACCTGTAAGTTTTTCTAGTGTATTCTTCACTGTAAATGAGAACTCTACAGTTTGGGTACTCTCTGGTATTGTTCACTAACCGTTTATTAAATCTGTAGTGACTACAAATAAGTATATTTCTAGCCGTCTTTGAGTAGCTTTTCCTCTGACTTCTAGAAACCATATTCTAAATCTCGGATTTGGATTGGAATATAGCATTGTGATTTTTGTAGGTTCGATTTGTTACCTTTTTGTGGGATTCATTAAGAAGATTTCGAATTCGACGTTGAATCCGTCTTCTCATTTTTTGTAATTGTTTCTTTACGAATGTTTGATCTTCGATTGGGTCCGTTAACCGTGAAACTTATCAATAAAACGACTGAGTCTATGAAATACCGAGATATATGATTTTTTTGGCTTAATGATAATACAATTTGGGCCAAATCTACTACAAACGGCTCAGACCCCATGATCAAAGGCAGCGACCTTATTTTGTGAAGGTTAATTTGTTTGTCCTGTCTTTTGGGAATGAAGAGATGGAAATGACTAGAACGTTTTACGATGAGTCTAAAATAATATTCTAGTTTATCTGATCGTTCTTCTACGCTCTTTATAAGTTCTTTTCCAAAAGCCTTGGGAGAGAATACCATATTTAATTTGTAATTTACTGCATGGACCGCAATTTGATCACTTGGTGCCATCCTTTTGTTGAAATAGATGATGGAATTGTTATTATTTTTTGTATGGTTATTTGGAATGGCATTCAGACTGTCAACCATGATTTCATCCCTAATATTGTAAGAGGGGGTGACCTAAGGCTTATCGTTTGCATTATTACCATGATTTTTTCTCCAACCAGCTTAGAATCCATTGCTTTTTGTTGCCAAGCACAATGACAATGGACAAGGCTTCAGAGAGTTCCTGGGTGACATAATCATTCGGGTTAGCTTCGTTATTAACCATGATCATTTAAGCAGTGTTGTTGCAGATGACTTCAAAGAGCCCGAAATCAAATTAGACGAGCCAAAAACCATATAAGAAGAGTCCAAAACCATGTATTCACAACATGTCATTGTACAAGACAATAATTCTCTTTGACTTCTCCTGGATAGACTCGTTACAAAAGAGAGATAACTGCTTTCAAATTTCAATCTAATTTTGAAATATTTAATGACTTCTGTTTCTGGGTAGAACCTATCGAGGATTTCAACCTTTCTCTAGTCTTTTTGGTAATCCGAGAATAATTAGGCATATCAGATTTTATCTTTGTTGGCAACATTGCTGGAGAAATCTTCAAATGCTCTAGACACAGGTACTTTAGAGTACGATAGTTTTCCTCCTGGGGTCCAATGGATCGAACTCTTCTATATAAACGAAACAACGAACTAGTAGATACTTGACAACATTGTTTAATTTTGGAACCAGTAGTAGATATATTGATAGAAAATCAGTTTATTTTCCTTACATCCTGGTATTGAGATACTGGGTGTTATGTATCTCAGGTTTCCCTTAGCACATGGATACTTTCATGGAAAATTCGGCGCCATCGAACGTCTGAACTCATTGCGCGCACTGACACCGCTATTTTGCCAGTCTCATAAAGACAAATAAATTGTATAACAAAATGACATACAAAGAAAACGTGGGGTTTAAAGTATTTGTTGTTATTAGACTGACAAGGTAGCATTGTCAAGGTGTATAAGTTTAGATGTTCTATGGCGCCGAATTCTTCATAAATATTTTCATGTGCTAAGAGCATAGATAGATAGATAATCAGTTTATTGTCCTTACATCAAATGGTTACATACAAAGTTTTAAAACAAAACGATATACAAAGAAGACATGAGATTTCAAGATATTTGTCTCTATGAGACTAGCAAAGTAGTGGTGTCAGCGCGCGCAATGAGTTCAGACGTTCGATGGCGCCGAATTTTCCATGAGAGTATCCATGTTTCTAAGAGCATTATAGTGATGTATTTGATATTATCTATAGCGCCTCAATTATAGTTGTTTATACTCAGTCACTGTAATATGCGCTGCCAGACTAGAATTTATTAAAAAGAAAAAAAGAAAAAAAACAGAAGCGTTACCAAAATACTGGTAAAAAAATTAGCTGATGTTAAAAAGTATCTCCGATACGGGGAATCGAACCCCGAACTGCTCGGTGAAAGCGAACCGTGCTAGCCGTTACACTATATCGGACTAATATCTATTGTTGATTCTTCTAGAATAAACAATTTTGAATAATTGTCACACAATTATTTAATAAATAACTTAATTCAATTAGTAAAATACTAGAAATGCCATTTAAATAAGCTGAAATATCAAATAATAATAAAACTAAATATTCTTATCAAAAATATATATATTTTCTTTGACAGACATCCTAATAGGATAAATCTAAAAACTTTATAAAAGTGTAATTAGGCACTATGGCCGAGCGGTTAAGGCGAAAGATTAGAAATCTTTTGGGATTTTCCCGCGCAGGTTCGAGTCCTGCTGGTGTCGTTTATTTTTT